TTGTAAAACCTTATTGTACTGAAGTTTTAAATGCATTGCAAAACTGTCTTTTTACAAGACTACATAATAGTATGTGTGTGTAGGTTCATATGTGCAGGACAATGTTGTTCTGAATAACAGGACATTTGTCAGTTTAGCAGACTTGTTTGTTTAGAAAGTCTGCTGTTCTGGGTAAAAATAAATTGTAGATCAAAGTTATTAAGGGGGAGCATTTCATTCCAATGTGACCTGGTCCATAGGGTAATAGTGTTCCTTTACGTTGTATAACCCAGTGCCTTGCATCATTTACCTCAATTCACTGAAATGATTCATTCCATTCTCCAATGTTTCAGGTGCACACAACAGCTCATCAACTGTGACCACAGGTTAACCAAGCACTCTCACAATCTATAGCTTAAAACTGTAGCTACATAATCACTGACTGAGCTACAAACCAATAAGTGTCGAGAAGCACTGCCTCAAATTAGCCTATGCACTAATTTACATGTGACTTGTAGGCTACTCAGTTAATACATTTTATGCCCTAGATGTGAAATTATTTAAAAGCTAGCCTACAAAAACCCTGACAGTGATGTTAGTGTGAAAGAAAAAATCACATCTTTTTCAAATATCGAATCAAATAATGCTTGGGCCCATCCGTAATCCATAATGTGTGTTGTCCATGTATGTTATTACTTATGTGTATTTTTTACCAGGCATGTCGCTAAATGTAAAAGTTTGGTCACTGAACTGCACTCTGGCCAGTGGGTGCTGAACAAGTGTTTCTAATCACAAGATTTTTGGAGCTTGAGTAACTATGGTTCACACCATTTGTTTGACCCATTACAGACTTAGGTGCTGTTAGTTCTTTGTCCTCTGAATCATTTAAGTGCCACAAACTGACCTGTGTATTTTAAATGTGCATGACGTAGGCTAACTGGATGGTAAATTGGATTGACTTTTAGATGAGTGGCTACAGTGGCTACAACTAAGCAAGTCAGATTAATAGAATAAGCTTTTAGGAGCCATCAACTATGGCTATAGTCAAATGACTGACTAGGTATACCTGACAGTGCCCCTGGGCAAGGCACTCAACCCCCCACTGCCCAGGGTGCGCTGCTCTGTTGGCAATGCTGTGCTGCTCCCAGATTGGGCATAGTTAGGCAGCAAAATGATGAATTTCAATTGTAGGACCAATAAAGTACATAACATAACGTCTTTAGTAAAAAAAATAAAATTACAAATACAAAAAACAAAAAACAAATCATTCACAAATGATTCATCAGTAGTCACTTGTTAATAAGTGTGGACCATGGGCATCACCAGTGCCCCAGTTAAATATTGCCATGACAGAGAGTGGAAAGTCAATACTTAAGCTACAACATTTCCCATTTTAACTTTGAACTTTGGGCCAAACTACATGACATTAACATTATATCACTACAGACACTATATTTCCCAAAGCGCCCCAGCATCTTTTCTCTGAACACTTTCAGTTCCCGTAGTCAGACTGTACGATAAACTGTAAACTGGAGCTAATTTCAGCAAGACAATGGCAAACCACATTTTGCATGTATTACAACAGCATTGCTCCATATTAAAAGAGTCCAGGTGTTAAACTGGCCTGCCTGCAGGCACCACTGAAAACATTTGGTGCATTATGAAATGAAAATACGACAAATGAGCCCCCGAACTGCCGAGCAGCTGAAATCATATGTCAAACAAGAACGGGAAAACATTTCACGTTCAGAACTACAGCAGTCGATCTCCTCAGTTCCCAAACGCTTACAGAGTGTTGTTAAAAGAAAAGGTGATGAAACACAGTGGTAAACAGGCCCCTGTCCCGACTTTTTTGAAATGGCATCAAATTCAAATTGGGCATATATTTTTCAAAAAACAATCAAATTTCTCAGATTCAACATTTGATATGCTGTCTTTGTAGCATTTTCCTTTAAAAAATATGGTTTACATCATTTGCATATCATTGCATTCTATTTTTATTTACATTCTCCACAGCGTCCCAACTTTCCTGGAAATGGGGTTGTATTTAGCAGCATGTATTTCTAGGTTTAACAGCAAATCAGCAATAGTAATGCTAAAGATTATCTTAGCGACTAACCACTTGTCACCTACCAATGTTGCAGATTAGACCACTAAATCAAGGCATTAGTAAAATTAGAGACTTATGATTTAATGCACTTAAAGTACTGTATTTCATTTTCAAATAAAAGAACATTGTACAGTTTTAGAACAACTCATTTTGCAAGTTTGTGTTAGTTTTCTAGCATAAGAAAGTCACAGAATTTGTGTTTTTTTTTGTCTTTAATTATTTTACATGCATTTTGAAATGGAAACATAAGTAGAAAAGTGAGCGGATGTGTGAGGCATAGAACAACGTTTTATTGTGGCTAGATGGACACATTTTCCTGCTTAGAGGGTTCTATTAAAAAAAAAGATTTCAGTTTTTAATGCGGACTGTTCTGTTTGTACGACTGACAAGCAAAGACATTGGGCTGTGCCCCCCATATTTTAGAGTGTGCCCCAGTGCCACCAGCTGGACAGAAACACAGCTGGTGTATACCCAACAGTTGGTTTTGGTTATTAATATTTACAGAAAACCTGATACTGTAACAAATATTTAAAATGTATATATTGTCTAGTAATAAACAGTTTAAATTGTTTTATCGACATAAAAAATTGTTTATTAATGAAGCAAAGTAAGAGTTCTGATAAACAAGAGCTGCTTCCCTGTTCACACTTGGTCACACTGCTCATAAAATTCAACAAACATTTCTGACATGTCAGCATTATTTCCCCCATCTCACTCATTCACAGATTTAGTTTGTTCGTAGCGATGCCATAAAAAACTGATTTTGGTTCCCTAAAGAACCTTTCAGTGGATTGTTCTTTAGAAGAATTATCCGGTACTTTAAACCTAATATCTATCTGCTGCATCGGTAGTGCACCGATATAGAGCACAGAGTGTAGAAAGACATCTCTGTTACGTACTGATGTCCCACATACAGAAAAAAGGTCTGGCTTAATGTTTAGATCTCAACACGCAAAATCAAAATTATAATGATGACGATATGGTGACAATAATTCACCTACACCATTGGACGACATGTCCTTCATTCATTTTAACTGAGTTCTCTATGAATACTTTTTTAACATGCTGGCAATCATCAGATTCATCCAGATGGTACAAAGTGTTCTTCGATGTGTTACATGCAATTACACATTTCCACCAGAGAGGTCTCTAAATCCCCAAAACTTACATAGTGTAGTCTAAAATTACTGTCCAGTATAAAGGTACACTATGCAGATAGAGAGTAGAAAAATGCTAGAGTACTCCTTTAAAAACCCAGTCACTGAAAGGTTCTTTAGGGAACCAAAGAAAGTTCTTCTTTCCAGAGGGGTAACTACAGGGGCCTTTGTATCTCCTCATATAGATACTGACATAATTATACACCCAGGATCTAATTTCTTAACATACCCAACCAGTTAGCCTCCAGCAACACTACACAGACAGCACTTATCTCCCTCTTATTTATAATGCATCTTATCCAAGAGAACCATTTTAAAACACATCCTTCACAACCAGTAACATGACATATTCAATATTTTTCATTTTTAAAACTTAAATAGATATTGGTAATAGGTGTAATGTAAACATTTAGATAAACATTAGATATTAAAAGGTGATGTGGGTCCTTTTTTGTTTTTGCACTGAGGCTCATTATTCTACACCTGAACTTACTGATGCTTGAGATTGATTGTGATTTCAATTGTGTTGATCCAACTTATCTTACTAGAGCAGGCTTAAAAGTGGTCACTCTGGTACCCAGTCAGTTTAGAACCACACTCAGCAATAAACGGCATCCAGGCAATAACAAGACCAACCAAGACTAACCAAAACATAGGATGCAAGCATAGGTTTAGGGGAAGATAGCTTTGGAGGAAAGACAACACAGAGATAGTTATTAAAACAAGGTAAAAAAAAAAACGGCCAAACAGATTGAATCAGGAGAAAATACAATAATTTAATAATAATTTAACTCAAAACAGTACCTATTTTAGGTACAATAGACGTCATTTGTTTTTGGGTGTGTGTCTTGTTAGATGGAAATCCCATGAGAAAAACACAATTCTTCCTCTTTAATTTGACCTGATTGACTCTGGCTGATTTAACATTTACGACAATTATGTTCCTTCAATGCAAAAACATTAAGTGCGGTTTAAAAATGGGACAATTCAATTAATATTGATTTGTTGTCCTAACATGTACGAGAGGCAGTTCTATCAGTTCTACACTTTTTAATTGAATGTAGGATCTGCTTCGTCTACAGCATCACATCTAGGAACCCCTTTGGCATCTTTATTTTTAATGTGTGCTGGGTCTCGGTTGGAAATCAGTTACCCTACCCCTTTGAAGAGGAATTTAACCCATTTTCCAAAATTTTTGCATAATTCATTCTGTGAGATATGAACATCATCATATAGAGTGGTGTGATGTGAAACGGTTCATTGTAGAGAAACTTACAGACTCTGATGTCTTTACAGTGGTGGTGATAGGAACCAAAAAAAGTGGTAACTCTAAAAGAGTTTTATTTGGGAACTGTTTTGCCTCACAACACTCTGCATGCACCTTTATGCCATGAATGGATTTACAGAACTACATTGTAGCCCAAAAGCTTATGTGAAAACTGTGACAAAACAATGTCTCCTGCATCAGGCAGTTCAACGGTTCATAACCGTTTGAGGAAATAACTTTCTGTGAGGGAGCTTTTGAATCATTAAACTCTGTCTGGTTCCCATCACCACCATTGTGTACAATTCTAATCCAGTTTCTCTAGAACAGAGCATTTCCCATCAAATCTCTACAAGTGGCTTTGTTTACATCTTAACCATTTAACTGTACAGATATATACACTTTTGAAAAGTTGGTGAAATTCCCCTTTTAGGCACCTAACACTGCCTTCAGCATTTGGCTCCTCATGAAACAGTGTTGAGTGTGAAGGTCAGCAGTCCAGCATCTTCCTGAACTCTCTCCTGAAGCTGGGGTCCAGGAAAGCGTAGAGGAAGGGGTTGAGGCAGGAGTTGGCGTAACTGAGGCACGTGATGAAATAGGAGACTCCCGCCAGCAGCGGCGTGTTGGGCAGCTCCGCGGTGAGCGCGATCACCGTGCTCAGGTGGAAGGGGGTCCAGCAGAGCAGGCACACGGCCAGCACCACGGACACCATCACGGTCACCTTCCTCTTGGCCTTGTCCAGCGCTTTGCCGCTCGCGTGCCGCAGCTTGCAGAGCATGAGGCCGTACAGGACGCATATGGTGGACACGGGGAGCACGAAGCTGAGCACGAGCGTGTAGATCCGGCTGGCCGCGAACCAGAAGGCCTCCGGACGCGGCAACGTCAGCACGCAGCTCGGCCTGTCCTCACCGGGGCTCACGTAGACGCCGGCGAAGACGGTGAAGGGCGCCACGAGGAGCACGACGAGCGCCCACACGCACACGCTCACCGCCCAGGCCAGCCCGCGCGTGCGCCGCGCCACGCGTCTCGAGCGCAGCGCGGACGCCACCACCGCGTACCGGTCCGCGCTCATGAGCGCCACGAAGTAGACGCTGGAGAAGATGTTGTAGTGGTCTATGGAGAGCACCGCTCTGCACGCGAGCTCGCCGAAGGGCCAGCGGCGGAGCACGTGCTCGGCGATGCTCGCGGGCAGCACGAGCGCGAACAGGTCGTCGGCGATGGCCAGGTTCAGGATGAACACGTTGGTCACGCTCTTCATGCCAGGCGCTCTCGCGATCACGCAGATGACCGCCGTGTTTCCCACGAGCCCCACCGCGCAGATGACCGAGTACACGAGCGGCAGCCAGAGGGAGAAGTCCGAGCCGGAGGACGTGCAGTTCTGCGGGCGAGAGGCAGCGGACAGGTTGCAGAGGTCGATCCGGGGCGCGGACGTGTTGTCCATTTTGGCCGGACACTGATGAGAAAGTGTCAGAAATGTCCAGGGTTAAGCGCTATCCAAGGTTAAGCGTTATCCAGGGTTAAGAGTTATCCAAGGTTAAGAGTTATCCAGGGTTAAGAGTTATGCAGGGTTAAGGAATATCCAGGGTTAAGTTATTCAGGGTTAAGCATTATTCAGGATTAAGAGTTATCCAGGTTTAAGCGTTATGCAGGGTTAAGCGTTATCCAGGGTTAAGCGTTATTCAGGGTTAAGCGTTATCCAGGGTTAAGCGTTATTCAGGGTTGAGTTATTCAGGGTTAAGCGTTATCCAGGGTTAAGCGTTTTTCAGGGTTAAGTTATACAGAGTTAGGCGTTATTCAGAGTTAAGAGTTATTCAATGTTAAGTTATTCAGGGTTAAGCATTATTCAGGATTAAGAGTTATCCAGGTTTAAGCGTTATGCAGGGTTAAGCGTTATTCAGGGTTAAGCGTTATCCATGGTTAAGCCTTATTCAGGATTAAGAGTTATTCAGGGTGAAGTATTATCCAGGGTTAAGTGTTATTCAGGGTTAAGAGTTATCCAGGGTTAAGTGTTATTCAGGGTTGAGAGTTATCCAGGGTTAAGTGTTATTCAGGGTTAAGAGTTATCCAGGGTTAAGCCTTATTCAGGGTTAAAAGTTATTCAGGCTTAAGCGTTATACATGGTTAAGGTTTATAGGCAAAATCTGAAGCCCACTCCCACCCAGTAGAAGAGGAAAAAATCTGTTCTCTCCTTCTCTGTAATCTAAATAATTATTTATTTTCTCAAATGTTTTCTTGTAACATTGACTTAATATTTGGAAATAATTACTTTTTTTCAAAATATTAGCTTAGTATTTTGATATGATGACGTTTTTTCAAAATACTGACTTAGAATCTTGAAATATTTACTCAATGTTTAAATATTAGCTCAGAATCTTGAAATAATACATAAATAAACAATAATCATTTTTAAAATATTGACTTAGACTTTCTAAATAATAACTGATTATTCAGATATTATTTTAGAATCTCGTACTAATTACCCAATTTTTTTAAATATTAACTTAAATTTAAAAATCTGAAAATAATTACTAACTTTTTAAATATTAACTTAGAATCTCAAAATATAGAAATAATTACTCATTTTGTAAACATTAACTTAGGATCTCAAAAAAATTACTTAATTTTTAAATATTGACCTAGAATCTCAAAATAATTACTTGTTTAGAAAATATTAGCTAAGAATATCAAAACAATTACTTAATTTTTAAACATTAACCCAGAATATCATTTTTTAAAATTAGCTTAGAATCTCGAAATAATTACTCATTTTTTTAAACATTAACTTTTGAAATACTTACATTTTTTTCAAAATATTGACTTTGTTCATAATATTGGCTTAGTACTTAGAAATGTTTACTTTTTTGATTTTTGAGTTTTTTTGACTTGTTTTTTTTTCAAAATATTGACTTAGTGTTTCAAAAATAATTACTTATTTCCTTGATTTGAGATACCATGTGAAAGCAATATCTTATTAAATTTTAAGAAAAAAGTAATTGTTTTGGGATGATTAGAATCTCTAAGTCATTAAGAAATAATGTCTATTTAGATATAATAAGGCAATATTTTGCGAAAATAAGATATTTCAACATAGATACCTTTTTGAGAGAAGTCATAGTTCAGACACAATAAGTCAATATATTAACAAAATAAGTCATTATCTCGAGATACTAAGTCTATATTTATACTGCTACCAGAAGCAGAGAGAGAGAAACATTGGTGGGCCGGATTGGGCTTCTGTAACAGTTGGTGCCATTTGCACACTTTGCTTATTCCTCTGCATTTATACACTTGACATAAATGATTCAGTAAATGTAAATGTACTTGATTCGTCTGTCTACATCATTTCCACTTGAATAAAAAACATGACATCAACACAACTTTTGTGCACTGAAAGGCAAATTGTGTTGAAGTAATGCATTTATTCATGTGAAAATGATGCACACATTTGAATCAAGTGAATTCTACCTTTTGGTTTTATAGAGACGGGTCTTGAAGCTATCTTGTATATTAAATAAGCTAAAATTATGTCTGTTTTGACTGGACATCCTTGTAGCTCATTGAACAGCATAGTCTTTGGAACAGCGTCCAGCGTTAAGGCTAATAGATTACGCTGAACACATATCCAGTGTTAGGGTTTACATGCAAAGTTGGTTCTTTTTACTAATGCTACACGTTGCTTTGGGTCAGTTCAGGTTAAATGGGACACTTCAGTTTATGCTCTATGTTGCTTGTGTTAGCCAATGTTAACAAATGTCGTGGGACTTGCTTTTTTCAAACTGTTTATTCCTTGTTATTAAACCGAGCAGGCATTGGCAGTGATTTAAAACACTATGCAACACTAATCATTTTAAATGCTGAAGCCGTGACCCACTGGTGGATTAATCTTTCTAGCCAATAAGGGTGAGTAGGTGAAGAACTTGGTGGGAAAACAAATATCAGCATATTTCATGGATATTTAGCACCAGTTTAAATGAAACTGATTATATATTTTCATTTCATGTTTGCCGAAAAGTGTCTCACTTTACTTGGATTCAACACATATCTTTACTTTTAAGTCTCCGCAAGCCAATCTTTGAAGCATAGCCTGTGCACTTCAGTAAGCTAAAACGCATAGATGAAAAGAAAACACAAAAAGCACTTCACATCAGTGTAAAGATTATGTGCATTCAATAAAAGCTTATGCAATTAAGACCAAAGAAAAAGCGCAAAACTGCTGCAAAGTGATGGACTGAACTGAACTGGCTTGATGCAAATGTCCACATTATTTCCACATGAATAAAATACATTACATCAACACAATGACTGCCAAAAGCAAGTCAGCTGATAGACATAATGGTGATAATGTGTTTTACTCATGTAGAAATTGAATGTAGACATTAAGTAAATTTGATGCATTATTTTTGTCAGTGCATGTCATTTTGCGCTTAACGCTCAGCAGTAGAGTGAAGCTCACCTGTGAAGTTCAGTCATGCAGTGTTCCTCAGCAGCTCTGCTCCCCTTCCAGTGTAGAAGTGATGTTGATTGCGAATGGGCTGCTGAAGAGATTCAGGCGTGGGACTGATGTGAGCTCGGGCTCTATTACCACTAGGGGACTGAATCTAATCTAATAAGCCTGAGCAGCAGGAGCAGGGTTGAGATTCACTGTGACATCAGTAAGAGTAGAGCTGAGTGCCATGGCCTCCAGGCTGAATACAAAACAAGCTGGTTTATTCCAGCTATCCAAATGTTTTTTTTAATGCAAAAAAATGGCAAAATCTGATGCTTCTAAAGGCTGCTGTATACAAGATCAGCAGGTCTAGGGTGCTGCGTTAAAGCAGGAATGTTGTAGATAAGAATTTATGAAATGTCTGTAAAATACAAATAGCTTACACCCCTAAAAATGAAAGGGCCAGGATGGTTATTTGGAGCAATGCCATGAAAAAAACACCTTTGGTTCCCTAAAGTACCTTTCAATGGATGTTTCTTTAAAAGGAACTCTCCATCTCTATCTACCTACTCATTGGCTTCTATAATAAGTATGTTTTGAGGCATAGTAAGTACAGGAAAAGATATTTTCTGTCATAATTGATTGCACATTACAGAGACAGATAGTCATTAGGTTGGAAAATGCTAGAATATGCCTTTAAAGAACAACTGAATTGCAAATTATACAGTTTTTTCACCCCTTTTACCCTGTTCTTCAATGGCCAGGCCTCCCACAGGACCACCACAGAGCAGGTATTTGGGTGGTGTCTTAGTGTGTGTTGCACTGGTACAAGTGGATCAGACAGAGCAGTGCTACTGGAGTTTTTAAACACTGTGTCCACTCACTGTCCACTCTATTAGACACTCCTACCTTGTTGGTCCACCTTGTACGTGCAAAGTCAGAGACAGTAGCTCATCTGTTGCTGCACAGTTTGTGCTACTCATCCTCTAGTCCTTCGTCAGTGGTCACAGGATGCTGCCAACAGGACGCTGTTGGCTGGATATTTTTGGTTGGTGGACTATTCTCAGTCCAGCAGTGACACTGAGGTGTTTAAAAACTCAAGCAGCACTGCTGTGTCTGATCTACTCAGACCGGTGCAACACACTCTTAACACACCACCACCATGTCAGTGTCACTGCAGTCCTGAGAATGATCCACCACCAAAATAATACCTGCTCTGTGGTGGTCCTGTGGGGGTCCTGACTATTAAAAAACGAAAGGTGGCCAACAAAGTATCTCTTTATATATATATATATATATATATATATATATTATATATATATATATATATATATGAGAAAAGAACTGGTTTACTAAAAGAGATCTTTTTTAGTGGGTGCTTCGGGTCAGCTTCCTGTTGGGGTTGAAATTTCAGCCCTGCTTTTATGTTCGTTGTTTATAAATGTGTTGCTAGACTGTTTTTTCCCCAGATGAATATGTAGTAGCAATCTATTTGAATATTTGGATTTCAGTCATCAACTGTGAGGACTTATTTGGGTAAATGTATGCAGACTCTGGTGACCATAGAACAACCCCGAAGGAAATGAAGCGCAAAAACATTGTGTTTACTGCACATCATCATGTAGCCTAATAGACACTACTTCCTTACAAAATAACAAAATCAAAAACCTTTCCTGAGGCAAACTGCAACCATTAGATGTACCAGAGAGGGATGTGTCTGTTGACCATAGTCTTGTTGCGGCTATAATAAATCCATCAAGGCTTTTCACACTGTGTCTCATGGGATTTAGAAAAGTGCTTGGATGTGTGATTTAAGGCATTTTTCTCACTCAAAACATAATGCATTAAGTGCACTCTAGCAGGAGGTCAGTGAACAGCACATACATCCACATGTGCCAGTGAGCAATTATCGATCAAGTAAATGTGCACTAAACGGTGAGCTATTTGAGGAGAGTCTTAAGCTTTAGGTATTACAGCACTATAAACATTGTGTTAACTGAAATAGATACTTTTTA